GTCCTGCTTCTGGCCCCGCACGGCCAGGAGGGAGCTTCGCAGCAGCTTCAGGTCCCCCTCCGGGTTATCGTTGAGCACGTAGTCCTTGCACAGGTAACAGAACACGTAGAGGTCCCGCACCTCCATGGCCAGAGGGTGTCCGGTGTCTTCGAAGTGTTTCAGGGCGTGGTCCTCGATGTAGCGGCCACAGGCCACGTGGGAGCACTTCAGGCAAGCCCACACCGACTCGGTGGTGGCGCACTCCAGGCAGCACCACTTCTGAGGGTTCAGGATGGAGTGGTCCTGGGCGAGCCGTAACCGCCCTACATGTTTGCATCTATCCATGTCTCAGAGCAGTCGCCACTCGCTCACCCTGGTGCGACATGGCCCCCAAAAAGAAAAGAGAAAACTGTGAGCAAAACATTTTCCTAGGCAAAGGCTTGCGATGGGCACTTCTACTCAAGACTTGGTAGTCTTCCATTCAAAATTGGTTCCTTTGAAAGATCTTTTTTTTTTTTTTTTTTTTTTTTTTTGGGGGGTTTTTTCTTTAGGGGATGTGAGAAAGAGAGACAGAGAGACAGAAAGTCCCCAGGGGGTATGGTCACGCCACAATCCCTTCTCCATTCTCCTCTCGGGATCTTGGGCATGTGCGCACATATGCCTGGCATGAGTTTAAGCCACCGGGTCCGGGACTCGAACCGCGGTCAACTACATGGGAGTCCAGCGACATAGCCATTATGCTAACTGCTGGCCCCTGAAAGATCTTTTTAAAATTTCATACATTTAGTATACAGAAGGAGAATTACAGAAAGTTAAATTCCTTAAAAACGAATTAAAAAATACTCTAAGGGGTGGGGCAGGAGTTAGCACCAATTTGAAAATTTTATGGTTTCAGATACCAGTAAGAGAGATGAAGAGCCTCAAATAAAAAGGCTATCTCATAGCTCCGGTCAATTTCAATGTTTTTCAAAAGCAGAGATAACAGGGTAAGGTAAAGGTAAAACACGAGCTCTCTACGGTACAGAAGGTCATGGGAGGGTACTGGCCCAGTAGGTACTGCGAGCCTCAACTGAAACATACTGTATGATTACATGTGTGGTTTCTCCCTGCGCCCTTCTAAGGGTGACCCCTAGACGGGGGTGACCCACCATCACAGGATGTGCCTCCACAGCGCCACTGCTGCTCACCCTTTTATGTGTCTTTATCTCTCCTTTTTTCTTTTCTTTACAGAGGTTTTTCCCCAGGAGGGGATGGCCTTGGCACAATCCCTTCTCCATTCTCCTCTCGGGAGAGGAGAACGCATGCACACGTGCCTGGCATGATTTTCAAGTCATCAGCTCTGGGACTTGAACTGTGGTCACCCGTGTGGGAGCCCAGCAATATTACCGCTATGCCATCCACTGGCCTCCTTTCATGTGTCTTTTTAAAAAGAACATCTACATCTTGTAGAACAGGTAGGAAACTTCACCTTCTCTGTTGAAAGGCTAGGTAAAGAACTAGATAAATCTGACAGAGTGAGAAGTGGAGTGCCTACTTGTATTACAGTATTTAGCCAAACTACCAAAACAAGAGAGAAAGCGATCTTCCAGATGATATGTATGAGACATTTTTAAAAACACTAATAACAGGCCGGCAGGTGGCATGGTGGTTAAGGTGCTGGATTCCCACGTGACTGACTGCAGTTCAAGTCCCGGACTTGGCAGCTTGCTTTCTTGCTTTCCTGTTCTCTCTCTCTTTCTCTCTGGTCAAATTAAAATAATAACAAGGGCCGGCAGGTGGCATGGTGGTTAGAGTGCTGGACTCCCATATGGCTGACTGCAGTTCAAGTCCTGGACCTAGCAGCTTGCTTTCTCATTTTCCCTTTCTCTCTCTGTCTCTAGTCAAGTTAAAAAAATAATAGCAAATAAAAAATAATAATAATACAAGGAATTAAATAAATAATTATTTAATAATAATAAAAAAACAGTAATAACAGTGGCGTGGTGGTTGAGGCTACTGAACTCCCACATGGCTGACCATGGTTCAAGTCCTGGACCTGGTGGCTGGTGTTCTCACTTTCCCTCTCTTTCTTGTTCTGTCTCTCAAGTTAAAAAAAAATGATAATAAAGTTAAATAATTCTTAAAAAAAAAAGTAATAACATTGTGCATTTTTTTCTTCTTCCTAACATTGCTTCTTCAATACTGTCAGAGAAGCCTAGTGGACAATGTTTTGAAGAAAAAGAAGCTAGACAAAAAAAAATTTTTTTTTAAACAGCAGGTGGCGAGGTGGTTAAGGTGCTGCACTTTCATATGGTGGGCCATAATTTGAGTCCTGGACCCAGCAGCTTGAAAAATTATGCCAGAGGCTAGCAAGTGGAATGATGGTTAAGGTACTGGATTCCCACATGGCCAGCCAGAGTTCAAGTCCCAAGCCTGGTGGCTTTCAAATCACAACAAATAAATATTGATAAACAGATAAATAAATAGTTTTTTTTAAGTCCTTAAAGGAAAAAAAAAATTACACAGGGTTCTTGTGTGTGCAAGCCCAAAATCCTGAGAGGAGAATGGAGGAAAAGGGATTGCGAAGGGGGAAGATTTCTCACTTTCCCTCTCTGCTGCTTTAATATCTCTCTCTCTGGTGAGTGCACACACCCTATGGCAAAAACCTTAAAAACAAAACAAAACAACTTAGCGTTTGCTTAGCAAAGAGACAGAGAGGAGAGGAGAAAGCACCCCTCCTACTCCTCCTAGGTGGAACAATAATCCCATCACAATTCCTTATCCTCTATTACTCCCTCCTCTTTAGATTTTGGGCATGCACAAGTACATGTTTCTCAAGTCACTGGGTCCAGGGCTTGAACTATGCAGTTGGCTACATGGGCTCTGGCTGCCTTAGCCACTAGGCCATGCATGGTGCTGGCCCAAGAAAACTTTTTATTCCTTGGCACCTTGACTTTTTTTCCCAATACCAAGATTTAAAATTCCTAAAGGTAGCTCCTCTTATACATTGAACCTCCTTTACCTCATTTCTTCCTCACTTTTTTTTTTTTTTGGAGAGGTTTTCGCTATAGGACGCGTGCACTTGCCAGACAGAGAGAGAGAGACATAGAGACAGAAAGCGAGAAATCACCCCCCAGGGGGGATGGTAACGCCGCAATCCCTTCCCCTCCAGTCTCCTCTTGGGATCTTGGGCACGCACGCACACGCGCCCGGCATGAGTTTTAAGCCACTGGGTCCGGGACACGAACCGCGGTTGACTATGTGGGAGGCCAGCGACATAGCCATTTACACTAACTGCTGGTTCCCTTTCTTCCTCACTTTTGTGAGCAAATGCAGTTCCATGATTATGAGGGTCAACCCAGAGGAGATCTAAATCCAATGCTGAGCTGCACCTCCAGTTAGCTTTCCAGATGCCCTTTTAGGCCTGGTCCTATTGCCATAATATTGTCATCCCTCCGTATTGTAGGGATTGGGTCCAGGGCCTCTGAGGGTACCAAGATGCTCAAGGCCCCTCATAATATGGCATCGTTTTTGCATATAATTTACCCACATCCTCCTGTACACTTTTATTTATTTATTTATTTGCCAGAGGGCACATGCACGTGCCAGAAAAGAGGGAGCGGTCCTCCAATGGGGCACGGTCATGCTGCAAGTCTTTCTCTTTCCTTTCTCCATCCATCAGGGTTGGGGACCTGGTGTGTTGTTCGAGCTTCTGCGCCAGGATTTGAACCTCAGTTGGCCATGTGCGATCCGGTTCCCACACTGTGCTCTCCTCCTATGTACTTTAAATCATCTGTGGATTACCTAATACAGTGTCTACATATCGCTTCACTTGTGTGGATTCAGTGCTGCACTCTGTGCGTGGTAGAGTCAAGTTTTGCTTTTGGGAACTTGGTGGCCATGTTTCTATATAAGAAATCCTCGCACCTAGATTATCCTCAGTCGAGTCACATCACGCTTTTCCCTTGAGTACTGTCAGGATTTAGCTTCTACTATACGAGTTATTCTTTCAACTACTGACTTATTGCTAAGTGCCCTTTACATAATTACATACTCACAACCAACCTACTGGGGACACAGAAGAGTCAGTAATGAAAGAATGAAGGGAGGAGAAAAATCGATAAGCAACTCCCAAGTTTCCCAGAAATGAACTATTTTTCCAAATGCAGTCCCAGAACTACTACCAGCATTAGAATGCCCTGGGCTACTTATTCTATATACATATTTCCTGGTTATACTCCAGACCAGACGTGATGAGTCAGTCTGGGCTGGGGTCTATAATCTGCATTTTAAATAAGGTCTATGAATGATTCTTTTTTTTTCTTTTGGAGAGGTTTTTGTTATAGGGCACATGTGCTTGCCAGAAAGACAGAGACAGAAAGCAAGAAATCATCCCCCAGGGGGGATGACCATGCCGCAATCCCTTCTCCTCCATTCTCCTCTCGGGATCTTGGGGGTGCACACATGCACCCGGCGTGAGTTTAAGCTATAGGTCCTGGGACTCGAACTGCAGTCGACCACGTGGGAGTCCAACAACAGAGCTATTACGCCAACTGCTGGTCCCAAATGATTCTTTCACACACTAAATCTAAAAAATATTTCATTAATCCACTAAGTTATACAGAGATGAAGAATTCCTCACAGAAATCGAATAAAGAATTTCCCAAATTATTTCACTCACATCAACACAGTCTAAGAGAACTTTCTGAAATTATGACAGTGATTTCTCTCTGTGCTGTCCGGTACAGTGGTAACTGGTCACCACGGTCCTGAACACGAAACGTAGCTAGTGACACCGAGGAACTAACTTTCCATTTTATTAATTTTAATTAGTTTAAATTTAAATACCCATATGACTAGTGGTTGCAGTATTGAGACAGCAAGACGGAAACAGACCAGGACATACTAACGTTAGCTCACTCGGCTTTTCTTTTGTTTTCGTTTCCTTTGAAAGATTCAGCACTCTCCGGATCATATCTGAATAGCCTCTCATAACCTGAGAGGCTTCCCAGAGCCTGATGCCTGGGAAATCCTCAATTTAGCCTTGATGTGTCTTTAGGAATTTAATTGCTACTGAGATGTTACCATGTGAAATACGGCACAGCTTCAACTGCTACAGAGAGAGAGTAAACAGCAGCATAAGAACACAACACCCGAACTCTGATGCCTTACAGAAACAGCTCCTGTACTGGAAAAAAATGTGCTGGAACAACTGAGAGCCCAAAGAGGAAAACACTAAAAAACCAACCCACTTTCTCTCCAGGGAGAGCTGTCAAATGGAAAGGGCGCTCTGGAAATTCTTGCTCCCAGTTTCATTTTCTGATCTATAAATCTGCTGATCACGCACATCCTTTCCTGCACAGCCCTTGCCCATTACAAATTTGTTGTGGCGAC